GACGTTTGTTCAAAAACTTATATTTTTTTAATATTGTTATACTTATGCGTATTTTCAAAATGACTTAAAGTGTACAAACCTACTGTCAGAATCTTGTTAAACTTAAAAACTGCAATTTGTTTTACTTTTCTTAAAGATCTCTCTTCTTTCAGAGTTTCAAAACAGTGAAAGAGATGCGTCAATCATCTTGTTTGTTAATAATAATAATAATACATAAAAAATATTTAAAATAGAAAATCCCTAAATAAAAATACAATAAAATATAATATACTAGCAGTAGAGCCCGGCGTTGCCCGGGGATGTAACAAAGACTGAAAAATAAAATTGAAAAAGATTATTGTTTAAGGTTGACGGACACGCATGTCTTAATTAGATTTTTTTTTGTTTCGTTTTTTTTTATGAATTGGTCAAACTCAAACAAAAACATTGTTTTCATTCGTTATGAGTCTACCGATTGAACAGAATTTTATTATGAACAATTGTCTTGTAAATGAAATTTTTAAAGCATTCTGAATGTAAAAATAAAGAAAAAAGTGCGTAAGAAAATAAGAAACATTACCTGCCAAAAAAAGGGAAGTTTTGTTGAAATCATTTGAAAAATGTAGGAAATCTGATCCCATATATAAACGAACACACACACACACAAACAACCTGGGTTTTATAATGAGTATAACTCGATATGAGTTGTCCCACTTTCATTCTCGCGACAGCGATGTCTTAATCGTGCTTTCAAATTGATTTCCTGCAAAAAAAACAATTGTGTCTTCCAATTTTTCAGCGCTGTCAGAACCACCGCAAGGTAATTTTACGTAGTCCTGTGAAGTTTTGTTGAAATCGGTTGAAAAATGTAGGAAATCCGATGCAATATATAAACGAACAGACACACACACACACACAACCTGGGTTTTATAATAAGTATGATGACAATATACATACAATAAATAAACGTCTATATCGATATATATATATATATATATATATATATATATATATATATATATATATATATATATATATATAGATTGTAAAAATAGTGTCATTAGCAAAGGTGTAACAATTTTGCCATCTTAATTTAAGAATAAACAGCAACATAGTAACAAGTAATCGATTAGTAATTGTCTCAATTTTACTCACAATGTTCTATAACCTTTTCAAATCAAATGAACCAGCGGTAAATGCATGAACTCTTGGTTTTGATTATGATTCCGGTTATTCATGTTGTGAATCAATTTGTTAAAGTAATTAATCGAGATCACATTCATGCTGACTTTATTCATAGCCATTCTCAGTGATTCTCGTGTTGCAGGTTTTGCTTCTGCAACTTTGTTTTTGAAAATGTCCCATGGACTTTCAATTGCGTTCAGAATTGTTCTATTCCGTGGTCAGTCCAGTGTTGCCAAATTGATCCTCTTCAGAATATTCTGAACAATAATTGCCCAGTGGCGTAAAGCAGCTTCATGCATACATATTGTGCACTGATTACTCTACATATAGTGTTCCCGTTGGTCTTTAAGTAGTTTCAGAAACCTTGAATGATCCACGCCGTTCCTGGGGACAAGAAGTATAGTGGAGCTGATTCAGATTTGAAGATGGCAAGCCAAATCATGTGGCTTGGTAGGTGCTTCGTAATCTGATTGGCGTTCTTTCAATAAAACCCATTACCAGGGAGTCTTCTAATGATCATTTTGTGAATAACGAATTGTTGTAGAGTAGATTCGTCTGAAAACATAACTTCTTTATTCTTCCGCTATCAATGTTTCACGTTACTCAGGAAATTCCAGACGCTTGAATTTCATAGGAGCGATTACGAGTCGATTTGAAGGATTTCAAACCAAATCAAAATCTTAAACAACGTGAAAATGTCATAGAACTGACATTCGTAACATTTGGAAGAACAGATCTTCTCGCAAGAACATTTTGTTGGTCGTGTAACGATACGATTCATCAAAGAATCATCTATAGCACTGGTTTTCTTTGGATTTCCACTTCCCCCTTTTTCCTTAAATGTTCCCGAATCTTGGAAAGTCATGATCGCATTGTGCACATCTGTTTTACTTTAACCTACTTTTACACTAATTGCCTGTTCATGAAAGCCTCAATCGCCTAGAACAACAATTTGGACCCTTTATGTTGGTGAAAATGATGATTGTTCAAATTCTAAACATAATTCATAACACAAATACTGACACAATGGCCGCTAATTTGGCAATGACAAATATATTTGACAATAAATCAAGTGTGCATAATGGCTGAGGAAATAGCAAAACGTTATTGGATCATACAATCTCATATGATACAAGGTAGCTTAAAAATAACGGTGTTACATCTTAGAGGAATTCCGTTAACGTCGGTGCAAATAAATACATCAAGGAATATAACTTATATGCACGTATACGAACATAGGTTATTTTTATAAGAAATATAATCATTGAGATTTCCCAGGATTTATGTCTATTAAGTTTAAGAATATAATTGATTTCAGGCTTTTTTTATGAATGCA